ACTCAATTTTTTGTCCATTTATTTTCTCCCTTTGCCTATTTCACGATCCACACCACACCAAATCGAATTGTCTATTTCCTCTCTTTCTCGCTCGCGTCTCTTTCTCTTCCAAAAACCCTAACTCTCAGGTAACTCGTTGTAGCGAGTCAATCATGTTTGCACCCTTCCGACCCATCTTTAAACGATTCTCATTGATTTTAACTGTTTTTGGTGCAAGATTTGCCATGAAAAGGTGCTAGATCGAAGGCTGATTCAAAGGAAACTGACAGCAAGTGAGTTTTATTCCTTGCTTTGCTTTGTTGTAACTTTTGAGTCAATATTTTTTTATATCATAGCGATTGCTTCGCAGATTTCAATGTTAGCCTCTTCTGTTTGCCGATTTCTTTTTTCTTTTTTTTTGGAATTTTTTTTCGTTAGGTTGAAGAGCAACAATGCAGCGGCTGGAAAACAAACTAAGAAGGCTACAAAGGATCCAAACGAGCCGAAGAGGCCTGCCGGTGCTTTCTTCGTCTTCATGTATGAGTGGTTCATTACTTTCGATTTCTTTTAATTTTACTTAAATTTGTTTTTGGGGACTCATAATCTTCTGAAATGGAGTGGTTGATGGTTGATTTGGTTGATTTGTTCTAACATTGCAGGAGACTAGTCATCAACAATTTGTTTTTGGGCACTCTGTTTTACATGATGAAAACAGAGTAAAACAAAGAAGACTTAAGGAAACAGCATACGAAGAGCGGATGATGAACATGGCGAGATTATACACGAACGACCGGTTTGAGAATATCAGAGATTGGGATTTCAATTCCGGCATCAGATTTCCTCGAAATCGTCCATTTACTTTCCGCGGAAGTTGATCTTCCGGCCAGCTGCGTAAATGTAACATGTGTTCAGAAGCCAAGCCAGATTCACCAAAACTCATACCATAGAGACTCCTTCTGCACTCAAAGAATCTAGTCATCCCCTTCATCTGGGTGGTGTGGAAGTTTCGAGAACAGACGGTGATGATAAGGAAGATTAGGAGGAAGAGTTTTGCTGCCGATAGGAATTGAAATTGTTCTAATTGTTTCAACTCTATTTTAATTGTTCTTTGTTTGAGAGTTGGTTGATTGGAGTTCTACTTTGTGCTGATTTTTTA